AACAACTTTCTTTTTTTAGCTAAGTTGCCTTAAACTTTTTAATGTCAACTATTTAAATTCGTTTTTCCATCTTGGCTGTTGCACATCTTAAAGATTTTCATCTCCTTTGAGGCAAAAGAGACAACTGGGAAGAGGGTGGGGGGAGGTAGGGGGTGCATGAAAGGGAGCCCAGCAAAAGGTCCTCAGTGGGTCTTGGTGGTGTTGGGGGAGTGGCTGAATGGCGGTAAGGGGTTGGCTGGGAAGCTTGGGAGTGTAGCCGGGACTGTTGGAGGACACATTGTGCTCAAAGGAGGTTGGGTTGTGGAGCTATCCCGCTGTCTGCTTAATTGAATTTCTTGTGCACTCACATGGCTCACCCCCACCCCGATTCACCCCACCCTACTCCCCCTACCAACTCTTCTTCTTTTGTGGATATAAGGACAATGTGTGTGTGAGACGGGGTGTGCGCCGTTAACTGTGAGGCTCCTGTTTAGAAGTCCTAGAAGAAAAAGCATTGGGGGTTGCTTTGAGTACAGCTCAGTTTTCTAATCTAAAACAGTGACTTATATTTCCAGACTTTTAACGTTTGCATTCGCTTCTGGTGGTCTGGAACTTAGTTCCAGTCAAAGACCGCCTGAAACATGATGCTGTCACAGAGGGCTCGCTTTAGGCTCCCCTACAGTGCCGCACAGATTGCCTGAGACTCACACAGCCACACTCGGTCTCCAAACGAGTCAGGGGGAAAGGCTGTCCAGATGAACTGATTAGGATCCTCTCTGCAGTAGTGCTTCTTTGACCTTTAGACATTCTTACACATTCCACTGACCTTTTAGCTGCCAGGGATTGTAAAGAGCAGTCTGTCGCACACAACGACGTTTACGCCTGATGTCCACAGTTTCCTGACTTTTGCAAGTGCTGCTGAGCCCGTTTCAGTCTATAAGCTTTAGACATGACACGCTGATAGGAACCATCAGTTTACGTGTCCTTCCTTTTCTGGGAAACAAACGCCTTGATGATGAATTAACTTGATTTGCATTTGCTGCATTCTTTGGAAGTCTTGATAAGTGCTGCAATCTAATAATCTGCTGAAACTCTCACCTGGACAGGAAATGTTTTCTGTTTTAAAACCGCCCCAGATAATAAGGTGTAAACATGCTACTTGCATGTGTTTGCTTGCAGCTTTAATTATTTTCTACCAGTGTCCACACTACTAATGAGCCAGTTTTGATTTGATAACTCAAACTGTCCGAGCTTTGCCAAGTTTAAGGCTAGATCCACAGACTGGACGCTCTTCCCATTTTTCCAGGCTTGGGACTGGGTGTAAAGCAGATGTCAAACCACCATGCAGGTGCACACGAATGATCGCTATGATAGGACGTGTTATTAGAGATGGAGATGGGTTTTAGTGAAAGTTGTTACTGCGGCTACGGCCCAGCTAACCCGGAGGATCAGGTTTCTCAGACTCAGTTGAAGAAAGGGAGAAATTTACGCTGTCATCGGCATATTTTTGCACGCTTGTAACATTTTAAGATCTATCCGCAGTATCGCAGCCCCCGCTGTGCTGTGGATTTCACTTCTCATAAATTATTCCCATTCTACAAAAAATCTTCCCTTTCATTGGCTGACACTTGTGTACCAACACAGATGAATAAAACGTGTAGTAAATAAGACTCTGATTCAGTAAATACTTTTAATTGGGCTATGCAGGTGCAGCTGGTTAATCCATTACTTTCACACAGCCTAGTGCGAGTGTTTTCTTTGTAAATGTGTGCGTGCTTGGGGCCAGTGAAATTTGGAATAAAGCCCAATCATTGGTGACAGCTGCAGAAGTATACCAAAATGCTGGTATACTTGATTATTAAAACTTTTCCCCTCCCTTTTCCCAAAGGCTTGTTTTTACCAGTTCGTATTATTCTAGTCACACTGCTGCAGTGGGTGGGCTCATTTGCTATGGAAAAAAGAAAAAAGAAAAAAGAAAATTCAGATTGGGTGAGCACCAAGCCATCCAGAGCTGACCTTTGAGCCCTACAGTCCAAAATTCAGGATGTTAGTTTGCTGTTTCACTATAAACCTAAAAGTTTGCAGAGCGTTACAGGAAGGCAGAAAGCTGCAAGTATGGCTTCTGAATAAACAATGGGGACTTTGTCTTGCTAGTAGCTTAGTTAATGAGCTGGCTGGCGAGCAATTAGCAAACTTGGATAGATTATTTTCCTTATTCAGTAAAAATGCTTGAGTGGAATAGTGTGCAAGCTTGAGAACAAAGGGGGGATAAAGTGCGCATTGCAGAGAAGCCACAGTAGTGAGTGGCTGACATGTTAGCGACTGGCTCACTAGCTGACGTAGTTCGTCAGCTCTGCGATGAGTTTTCTTTCATTTATTTATTTAGAGTTTGTTACCGCCCACTCAGCTGTGTGTGCTGCTCGCAGAAACCAGTCAGATAGGTTGGTGATTCACCAGAGATTAAGATGTGTCAAGATACTACTTTTGAATCTTGGTTTAGAGCGTCATGCAAAACACTTGTGCCGCCCGTCTTTTCTTTTTACGTTTTGGTTCCAGGAAACCAGATTTCTTTGTATATGTTTGTTTATTTAAAGTGATCTTGAGCAATAGTTCTCCCGGCTTTTGCTCTTTTTTTTTTTTTTTTCTTTGACATTGGCTACTTTTCGCTTCATTTGTAACTCAGTCCTTAGAGATAAACAAATAAATGTCAGGATTTAAAACTATCTGTAGCAGACGACCCGTATATGAACATCATGTTCTTAGGAAATAGAAAATGGCCCTCTACTGTTGAAGCATCATCAGAAATGGATTCATTGGAAGGGTGGCTGTCAAGA